AGACCTATATAATAAGAACTTTGTGACTCCAAAGAAAGAAATTAAAGAAGATACCAGAAAAGGGAAAGATCTCCCATGCTCTTTGATAGGTAGGATAAACATAGTAAAAATGGCAAATCTTACCAAAAGCAATCTACAGATTCAATGCAATCCCCATTAAAATCCCACCACAATTCTTCACCAACCTTGAAAGGATAATAATCAACTTTATATGGAAAAACAAAAGACCCAGGGTAGCCAAAACAACCCTATACAATAAAAGAACTTCAGGAGGCATCACCATTCCTGACTTTAAGCTCTACTACAGAGCTATAGTTCTGAAAACAGACTGGTATTGGCATAAAAATAGACAGGTAGACCAATGGAATCGAATTGAAAATCCTGATATTAACCCACGCACCTATGAACACCTGATTTTCGACAAAACAGCTAAAATTATACAATGGGGCAAGGACAGCATCTTCAACAAATGGTGCTGGCAAAATTGGATGAGGGTGTGTAGAAGACTGCAGATAGACCCATGTCTGTCACCATGCACAAAACTCAAGTCCAAATGGATCAAAGACCTCAACATCAATCCAGCCACATTGAACCTCTTAGAAGAGAAAGTAGGAGGTACCCTTGAACAAATTGGTATAGGAGACTGCTTCCTGAACATAACTCCAGGGGGCACAGACACTGAGAGAAACAATTAATAAATGGGACCTCTTCAAACTTAGAAGCTTCTGTAAGGCAAAGGAAACAGTGGACAAGACCAAACGGCAGCCCACAGACTGGGAAAATATTTTCACCAATGCTACATCCTACAAAGGGCTGATCTCCAAAATATACAAAGAACTCAAGAAACTAGTCAACAAAACACCAAATAGCCCTATTAAAAAATGGGGTACAGAACTGAAGAAAGAATTCTCAATAGAGGAAATAAAAAAGGCCGAAAGACACTTAATAAAATGCTCCACATCCTTAGCTATCAGGGAAATGCAAATCAAAACAACTTTGAGATACCATCTTACCCCTGCCAGAAAGGCTAAAATTAGAAACACCAGTGATGACTTATATTGGAGAGGATGTGGAGAAAGTGGAACACTCCTCCACTGCTGGTGGGAGTGCAAACTCATACAGCCATTTTGGAGATCAGTATGGCGGTTCCTCAGCAAAATAGGAATTAGTTTACCACAGGACCTGGCAATCCCCATCTTAGGCATATACTCAAAGGATTCACATCCATGCAACAAAGACATCTGTTCAACTATATTCATAGCAGCACTATTTGTAATAGCAAGAACCTGGAAGCAACCTAGATGCCCCTCAATTGAAGAATGGTTAATGAAGATGTGGCACATCTACACAATGGAATACTACTCTGCACAAAAAAAAAAAAAAAAAAAAAAAAAATAATGGTATCTTGAAATTCGCAGGCAAATGGATGGCACTTGAAGAAACCATCCTGAATGAGGTAACCCAGTCACAAAAAGAGGAACACAGTATGTACTCACTCATATATGGATTTTAGACCTAGAGCAAAGGATCACCAGCCTATAATTCACATCACCAGAGGAACTAGGACACAAGGTGTATTCTAAGAGATTCATATAAAGTCCCTCACAGAACTGGGAAGGGTCAAGTCCCCCAGAGCTCAGGTGAAGTGGGGGGGGCAGCGAATGGAGAGAGAAGTAGGAGAAAATGAGGGGGAGGAAAGGAAAACATGTGCGACCAGGAAGATTGAGCCTGGTTAGGAATAGAAGATAGGAAAGAGAGAGAGAGACAGAGACAGAGAGAGAGAACATAAAAGAGGGAGCCAATATTGGTTTGAAGATAAAATTGAACACAAAGAAAGGTCTAGAGAACTACAAGACTGCTCCCAACTAACAATCTCAGCTTCCGTGGAAAGGCTATCATAAATGCCCTTCCCAGAGAGTGAGATCAACAACTAACTTCTCCATGGAGCCCTCAACTAGTGCCTGTTGGAAACAGGATCAAACACCCATACATAAACACTGAGTTGAACTAGAACCCAGATGCAGATGGAGAGGACAAGACCAGGTGGCAGAAACACATAGAGACAACTTACCTGAACAAGGAGGAGCTAACGGCCACTAGACTGATAGCTGGGAAGTCAGCATGGGACTGACTCAGGCCCCCCTGAATATGGGTCTCAGCCAGAAGGACTGAGCAGTCTAAGAGACCTCAGACAGTGGAGCCAGGATGTATCCCTGGTGCACAAAAGGACCTTGCGAACACATCCCCCATGGAGGGATAACTGCCTTAATCTAGAGACAGGAGAGAAGCCCTTGTCCCCACTTCACATGACCTGTCAGATCTACATGACCCCAACTGGATGGCATTCCCCTACATATGGAATTGGGGTGGGGGGATGGGAGGGGAGGGTGGTTATGGTGCATGTGAGAGGGCAGAGAGGGTAAAAGTGAGGGAAGGAGGGAGGGAGGGAGAGGGAACTGGGATCGACATGTAAAATAATAAATTTTAAAAAACTGCTTTGACTCCAAAATTTAAGTCTAAGGACAAGTTACTGGGGAAAAGGATTTCTATTTTTGTTTCCACAGAAAATGAAAAGCTGTGGATTCCTTCCAGACTAATGTGGTTTGATCACGCCAGGCCACCTGAAACAGAGTACAAGGTGATCCTACATTCATTCAAAACAGCTGGACAAAGCAGCCTGACAGACTACAGCCAGGATTTCTGAATCTTCTTCGAATCCCCCATGACAGCGCCCTTTACCAGCAGGAAGTAGTTTGGAAAGAACAACGCCCAAATTCCCAAATATTGTGTATAAATGTTTGTTTACATTTAATTGGACCTTGTTATATAAAATAAAATAAAGAAACCCAGGACTAGATATGTAGGTCTTAAGTTGGTATGTGCTCAATTTTCCTTAGAGCACACTTGATATTCACTGTTTTGTATTTAGTTTTGTATCAAGCCTAAATTTTTTCTTTAGACTAAAAAGGGAATTATAGTGAGATATTCACTTTGTCCGTACCTGTGTCACTGACCATGCACATTGGGGTTTGGAACAGGGGCAGATGTAACCTGGGGGAACTAGGTCTGGAGAAGGGGCCCCAGAGTGCTCTCTTGCTTACAGCATGGAGACAGAAAAGCATCTGGAGGCATCCTTGGGACCAGGAACCTGCTGGTGTTCATCTGTCTATGTTGTAAGTTATTTCTCCATGAATAAACATCTATTCAGCCTAAAAAATAAGCAGTCTTTTAGGTCTATAAATAATAAATGATAGCCTTGAGGAATACCTACAGGGGAAGGTAAGCCAGGTTGTGTGGCTCCCATAATTTGCATACAATCATTAACAGCTCAGAGATCTTGTAGGAGTCTCCATTTTCCAGATTTTTTTCTTTACAACAAAAATTGGCATATTCCATGGAGAAGTGGAAGGAGCAATATGTTCTGCCTCTAATTGTTCCTGTACAAGTTCATGTTCAGCCTGTAATTTCTCAATAGATAAGGGTCATTGTTCCACTCAGACTGGGTTATCAGTTTTCCATATAAGAATGGGAACAGGCTGCACAGCAATAGCCCCTAAGGAAAATTTCCCAACCTTAAATTTTTGGATGCAACAAACTGAGAGTCACCTTGGAGGAATTTACCCAGGCCTCTTCATTGTATATAACCTTGGTCAGCTAGCATATTTTTAACAGGCTCAGTAGTAACTCACCCCCCATACCTGCTCCCCAACCCTTTACTCTGAAGCAATGTATTTGTTTGAGGTAGAGTTGTTTTTCTTGTATGCAGCAGAAGGATAGATTCTGTCTTTGTATCCATTCTGTTTGCCTGTGTCTTTTTATATGGGAGTTAAGACCATTAATATTGAGGGACATTAATGAATGTTGATGGTTGATTCTTGTTTGATTTGGATTTGGTGGTGGTGGTGGTCTTGTGTATAGATTCCCTGTACCCTTTTTCTTTTGGTGTTTGGTAAAGTGGATTTATCTATTGCCTATGATTTTGTGATTGTAGTTTTTCTTCCAGACTTTTCGGTAGTGCTGGATTTGAGATATGTATTGTTTAAATCTGATTTTGTAATGGGATATCTTATTTTCTCCATGTATAGTGATTGAAAGCTTTGCTGGGTGTAGTAGTCTGGGCTGCCATCCAAGGTCACTTAGTGTTTGTAGAACATCTATCCAGGACTTTCTGGCTTTCAGAGTTTCCATGGAGAAGTCAGATGTAATTCTGATTTGTCTACCTTTATATGTTATTTGGCCTTTTTCCTTTGCTGCTTTAAGTATGTTTCTTTATTCTGTAAGTTTGGTGCTTTGATTATTATGGGGCCAAGGGAATTTTTTCAAGGCCTAACCTACTTGATGTTCTGTAAATTTCCTGTACATTCTTAGGCATATCCATCTTAGTTAGAGACAGTTTTTTTCCTATGATTTTGTTTAACATACAGAAAATTTTGTTTTCTGTACACTTGAGCTGTATTTCTTCACTTTCTTATATACCTATTCTTCTTACATTTGGCCTCACAGTATCCCACATTACCTGGATATTTTGTGTTAGGGATTTGTTGGACTTAAGATGTTCTTTGGTAGATAATTCTATTTCTTCTGAGTCTTCAACAGTTGAGATTCTCTCTTCCATCTCTTCTATTCTATTGGTTGGTTATACTTATATCTGTAGTTCCTGATCATTTACCCAGCTTTTCTATTTCCAGCATTCCATCATTCTGTGTTTTATTTTTTATATTTATTTACTTTTTTCTTATTTTACATGTTGATCCCAGTTCCCTCTCCCTCCATCCCTCCTATGCCCCCCAACCACCTTCCCATCTCATCCCCTGCCCACTCCACAAGGAGGGTAATGCCTTCCAGGTGTCAAACCAACCTCAGCCCCAGCTATCCTGCTCAGAGAGCTATTTCTGATACTCTTAAAGAGACAAGTTCCTAACAACTTAATTTTCTGTATTGATAATTGGAGGGTGATTGGTGAGTAGACAACTGGTACCAAGTAAAATATATTTTCATACTTAAAATGAGACTAAAATATTCGTATGTCTTTTACAGGACAAACAAAGCTTGGATACAATAGAGTAGCGGTACATGAGAACGAAGGGTAAAAGTGATGGAAAACAGAGGGAAGTGAAGTGATCGATGTTCACCAGCCACCAACTTTGAGTATATAAAAGAGCAATGCAGCCTCTTAAGATGGAGGAGAGAGTATAAAAGAACAGAAAGATAGACACAAGGATCAGAATGTTCAGGGTGACTCTGGACTCAGGGTTGGTTCTGCTGGAGACATGGGTGCTACGGATGTGTTGAACGCTGTGCTTGTGTCTGTATAGAATGACAATCATGAAGCCACTGGACCAGAACATGAGCACAGAAAAGAAGATTTCAGGGCAAACCACCAGTGCTGCATAGAGCGAGGCTCCAATTTCATCCCATCCTACAATACAGCAGTATCCGAAATCTCGTTTTCTTGATACATTTTTGTTATCCATGTTAACAATTGTGTTTGGAAAATAAATGAAATTTATCAATATGAACAGGATCCAAATAAGGGAGATGTTCTTCTCACACTTGACTTTATAATTCTTCCAACATGATTTCTTGGGACTAATGGTCAAAGCTTGGTAGAAAATCAAGAGGCATGTGGTGCCAATAGACACACTCCTAACAAATCCTTGAATGTACAACAGGAGCTTGCAACCAAAATCATTCAAGAAATGCTTAAATCCCAAAACTGCCATTGTTTGTGGCACTCCTGTAGAGAGAATTACCAAGGCATTGGCTGCCAATAGGTGCATGAGGATCCAATCTGTGGGCTTTAATGTATTTTCTCTGCAGCATCGGACTACATAGTAGAAAATTAAAGACAGATTACCCAGAATTCCAGTTGTTGTTTGGGATAAGAAAACAAATCTGATTGCCAGATTCCCGAAGTCCATCCTGTCATTTGGGACGATATCCTTTAGGAGATGGATCTTTTATTCTTCTGGTCAAATATATAGTGAGAAATATTTACAGTCTGCTGTTAAGGAAGAAGCTTTAATTTATGGGGCTACTGAGAGAGTGAAACACATGGTCTAAAAGAAGGTCTCAAAAAAGTCAGGGGTTCAGGACCAGTTCCAACCATTAAAAAGGCCTTATCTTAATCTTAAACAGGAGGAGTTGCTTTGCAGGTGTGTTAATGTGAGAATGAACAATTCCAGAATGTACATAAGATGGAAGGAGATCCATCATGCTTCTTAAAAACAAAACATTCACAATGATGTGACATTGGGCAAATAGGAACAATGAAGAGTGACAGCATAAAGGACAAATGCAATGCAAGATTTCCAGAATATATTGATATTTTCTAGTCATAGTATAAATGAAAACAACTTACATAATGTTGAGAAAAATTAAATCTATTAATTGTCAATTTATATCTCATTTAAAAATAAATTATGTGAAATGACAAATTTGTAAAACCACTCAGAATATACCTATGGTTTTGTGACATGGCAAATTTTCTTCATCTTGCCTCAGGTGGAGCCATTTGGTTTATTCTGAAACTAACTCTCCCTTTTCTACTCTGTCCTTGAAAACACCCTTGAAAGAGTACCCAACCCTGTTTTACTAATTGGAAGTTGAAATTTCCTGAATAACTGCATGTTTTTAGCTTCTTTTAAAGTTCTTCATTGCTTTGAGACCCACTCACCTCTGACATCTAACAGTATGGATATACCTGTTTCAGTATGCTTACCTTTAAAAGCTCCCTGTAAAATGTATTTCCATCTGCACCTTGAGAAGTTTTTCCTTCCATCGGGTAATCACATCACTTTAATACAAACTCTGAATTTTGACTTTAGTCATGCTGAGTAGTATTTTGCCTGTCACCATGCAACAGATTCAGATAAGGAAAAGTTATTAAAATAAAAAAATGCATTAGAATGAAGTGTTAGCTGACAACTTACATCATGGTGAGGTATGGATTTATGAAAATCATATAACATAGATGCATGCATGTGTGCACATGCATATCAGGCGTTTTAGATGGAAAGGGATATCTGTCAAAATGAAATTTTACAGAATACACAACAGCATAAAGTTAGGTTGACATGCTACCATAAATGACAAAGAGAATGACATTATCTGATAAATGATAGCTACTGGAGTAATGGTCTGTGTCTCAATTGAAACTGTGTCTGGGATAACCATATACCACTCCATTTGCTTAGGCAGGAAATGATAGAAAATTAGCAGTGGTTCAAGCAGTCCATCAGTACAATGATCTCAGAGTAAAGTCTCAACACACCATACGGGATTCCTGTAGGAGAAGTTGTCTGAAAGCCACTTGAGGTGATATCCCCTTGTTATAGTAGCAGAAGCAGTTGTGAATCAGTACTGGGCTGACTCATGCAGTCCCAAGAAAGGTGGAGTAGTTCTACGTAATCATCCACAATCCAATGACAATGACCTGAGCAATCAAGAACTTGACCAAAATTTGCTATGAATCTTAGGACCTGAAGAATTTTAAACAAAGTATAAATATGAGCTGTGCCCTTAGGAACTACCAGATACTAGCAGACTACCCTTCTCCATGCACTGGAACTATAGAACATCCTAGGGAATGGCAACATCAGAATGTAGAAAGTCTTCTATTAAGTGACATGAGACAGGCTCAGAAATATTACTAGCATACATTGAATGTAAATGTGGTTGATTAGGTATGGGTGTTAGAAAAATGTGTAGAAGAGGGATGAATACAGGTCGAGCACAGGTAACTAGAATGTGGCCCACAAGAGAGTTAAAAAAAAAGTTTCCATGAGAGAAGCTATGGAAGGACAGAAAACACACAATGTATGAGAATAGAAGGGAAATGATATGCATGCAACAGGTAAACTGGAATAGGAGAGTAGATATCGGGAGAAGAAGCATTTGGTCAACCTAAATTTTAAAATGAAAACAAACAAAAAAGCCTTAAAAAAAACTAGGTACATTTAAGCTAATTAAAAATATAAAAAACAATAAAATGAACAAAAAGAAAAAGAATTAAAATACCAAGCCTAGCCTTGTTTGCAGATAAATCAAGAACCTTGTAGCCTGATAATGTTCCTGAATATAACTACCAATGCAGTGCAAAACTGGTTTTATGAGCTTAAGCTCAACAATACAAATCTACATTCAACAACTCCAGCACTGAGAATGACTTCAGTCTTTGCTATGGTTTCTATTTCTGCTAAGACAAACCGTGATCATCCCAACTATTATGAAGAAAAAACATTACATTAGGGTTGGCTTACAGTTTCAGAGATTCAGGCCTTTATTTTCATAGCAGGAAACAGGTTAGAGTATCCCTCCAAGAGGAATGTGATCCCAAAGTCCTTTTGTGTACCAGGGATACATCCTGGCTTCACTGTCAGAGGTCCCTTAGATTTCCCAGGCCTTCTAACTGAGAACAATGCTTCGGGGGTCTGAGTGGGTCCAATGCTGGATTCCCAGCTATCAGTCTGGGGCCCCATTAGCTCCTTCTTGTTCAGAGCCACTGTCTCTGTGGGTTTCTGTAGCCTAGTCTTGTCCTCCCTCTCTGCATCTGAATTCCATTTCAGTTCAGTGTTTAGCTGTGGGTGTCTGCTTTTGTTTCCATCAGCTACTAGATGAGGGCTCCATGATGGTGAATAAGTTAGTCATCAATCTCATTATCAGGGAAGGGTAGCCTTTCCACTGTTGCTCAAATTGTTAGTTGGGATCAGTCTTGTAGATGTCTGGACATTTCTCTAGAGTCAGTTTTCACTTCAAACATATAATGGCTTCCTCTTTTATGCTCTCTCTCTCTCTTTCTCTCTCTCTCTCTTTCTCTCTCTCTCTCCCTCTCTCCTCTCATGTATTCCTACCCTGACTCAATCTTCCTAGTCCCATGTGCTTTCCTCTCCTCCCATTCTCTTTCTTCTAGCTCCCTCTCCACCTATTGCCCCCCACTTCCACTATGCTCAGGAGGTCTTGTTCCTTTTCCCTTCTGTGATGAACCTTGTATGAATCTCTTAGATTCCTCCATGTTTCCTAGTTTCTCTGGCCATATGAGTTATAGGCTGATGATCCTTTCCTCTATGTCTAAAATCCATATATGAATGAACACATACCATGTTCCTCTTTTTTGTGACTGGGTTACCTCATTCAGGATGGTTTCTTCAAGTGCCATCCATTTGCCTGCGAATTTCAAGATTCCAGTGTGTGTGTGTGTGTGTGTGTGTGTGTGTGTGTGTGTGTGTGTGTGTTTTCTCCACAGAGTAAGTAGTATTCCATTGTGTAGATGTACAACATCTTCTTTATCCATTCTTCAGTTGAAGGGCATCTAGGTTGCTTCCAGGTTCTTGCTATTACAAATAATGCTGCTACAAACATAGTTGAACAGATGTCTTTGTTGCATGGATGTGGGTCATTTGGGTCTCTGCCTAAGAGGGGGATTTCCAGCTCCTATGGTAGACTGATTCACATTTCCCTGAGGAACCCACATACCGATCTCCAAAATGGCTGTAAAAGTATGCACTTCCACAAGCAGTGGAGGAATGCCCCCCTTTCTCCACATCCTCTCCAGCATAAGTTGTCATTGGTGTTTCTAATTTTAGCCATTCTGGCAGGAATAAGATGGTATCTCAGCGTTGATTGGATTTGCATTTCTCCCAGCTAAGGATGTTGAGCTCTTTCTTAAGTGTCTTTCAGCCTTTTTTATTTCCTCTATTGAGAATTCTCTCTTCAGTTCTGTACTCCATTTTTAATAGGGTTATTTGGTGTTTCTGTGACTAGTTTCTTGAATTCCTTTATATTTTGGAGATCAGCCCTCTGTCAGATGTGGGGTTGGTGAAGATCTTTACCCAGTCTGTGGGCTGTCATTTAGTGAAGAAGATGTTTAAGACAATAAATAGAAACTGATGACCTCTACTGTATTACAACACTCCTATGCACAGATCTGTAAGGTCACTCTGCCCATTCTGATAATGAGTATTTGTCTTCACAGCTATAGTATACTGCACATGAAGGTATTGGTCACATCTCCTGAACCCCTGTATTCTCACTAGCACATATTCACTGAGATACTTTTTTTTCCTTTGATAATTTTTTATTTAAGTTTGAAACAAGTTTGTTTTACATGTCAACTCCAGTTCCCTCTCTCTCCCTTCTTCCCTTGTTTCCCCCACCAAGGGAGGGTGATGCCTTCCATAGGGAGTCTTCAAAGTCTGTCACATCATTTGGAGCAGGGCCTAGACTCTCCCCCATGGGTCTAGGCTGAGAGAGTATGCCTCTATGTGGAATGAGTTCCCAAAGTCTATTCATATACTAGGGAAAAATAGTGATCCACTTAGTTAATTTATTAAGCATTTTGTGAATAATGGCAAATAACGTTTTTATGAGTTAAGTACATGTATGGTAGATAGAAGTGATAATTTTTGAAGCATTGCTTTCCTGTTATCTTGACACCTTCTTTGATTTTTGTAACTGCAGAATGTGACAACTGTCATGATCTGACGTTAAAAAGACTAAGGATAAATAACTCTTGAAATCCAAAAGCTGTTTAGAGGCAAAGTTGATGTAGGAAGGATATGAAGATGTATTCTGTGGTACAAATACAGTTACCTCATACTGTGAACTCCAAGTCATGAGAGACATTCTCAAACACATTTACTTCTTGCACAAGTTAGTGTTCCCAACATGACATTTTTCATTTTGTTGGTATGTAATTGTATTCTTTTTGGTGTAAGCTTTCATGTAGAGGACTATAAATGGTTCAGTGTTTTACAAACTTGCTGCTGTAGTAGATGACCTGAGTTTCTTCTCCAGCACTCACATGTTGGCTCACAACTAGAACTAAAGTTTCAGTGGATAGCACTAAAACTTATGGCCACCATAGGCAATGACTTCCATATTACACACATATACATGGAGACAAACATTCATATGTTCAAAATAAGAACTG